TAATTTCTAGATCAATTCGTCATTATATTTATCAATGATATCTTGGTCTATTCAAAAAGCAGAGAGGAACACGTTCACCACCTAATTCAAGTTTTGCAGGTTCTCAGGGAGAAAAAGTTGTATACAAAATTGAGTAAGTATGAGTTTTGGCTCGAGTAGACTACCCCTCTAGGGCACATCATATCAAGGGATGATGTATCAGTGAACTCTGAAAAAGTTAAAGCAGTGTTTGATTGGGAAAAATTAACTTCGGTCAAAGAGATGTAGCTTTCTAGGAATGCTAGGTTATTACTGCAGATTTATGGAAGGATTTTCTAACTTAACCGCTCATTTGAATCGGCTCAAAAAGAAGAACGTTAAGTTTGAATGGAACGAGAACTGCGAAAGGAGCTTTACAGAACTCAAAAAATAGTTAACTACTGCACCCATGTTAGCTTTACCGAGTGAGACATGTGGATATATAGTTTATAGTGATGCCTCCTACTTGTGGTTGAGTTGTGTTTTGATGCAGCATGGAAAGGTCATAACCTATGAATTCAGGCAGTTGAAGAGTCATGAGAAAAATTACCTCACCCACGACTTAAAACTTGTTGCCATTATTCACGCCTTAAAGATCTAGTGCCATTACCTGTATGGAGAGACTTTTGAGATTTATACCGACCATAAGAGCTTGAAACACATATTCACTCAGAATGATCTCAACATGCGTCAGAGGCGTTGGATAGAGCTCCTCAAGGACTATGATTGCAATTTTGTATCACCCAAGCAAGGGAAATGTGGTAGCCAATGCACTCAGCAGAAAATGTGTATATATGTTAGCTCACCTAATGGTTTCTGAATCCACGGTAATAGGAATCGCACAACAGATATGACTTTAAGACTTGAAGAGAGTTACATATTTGGTCCACCTAACTGTTTAACCCAAATTGATGCAGAGAATAAAGGAAGTCCAATCCACTAAGTCCACCTTAACAGCTCTGAGGAATGATGCATAACATGAAGTAAATTCAGAATTTCGAGTCTCTACCAATGGATTGCTCATATTTCAGGATAGAGTGTGTGTTTCAAGTGACAGTGAACTGAAAATGGACATTATGATAGAGGCTCATAGCTTAAAGGTCACCATGCATCCCGAAAGTACTAAAATGTATTAAAGTATGCGACTCCGATTTTGGTAGAACGAGATAAAAAAAAAGAGGTAGCCGACTTTATTTTTAAGTATCTAGTGTGTCAATAGGTTAAGATAGAGCATAAATGTCCAGGCAAGCTACTTCAGCCATTACCGATCCCGAAGTGGATGTGAAAACATATCACAATGGATTTCATGACAAGGTTGTCTAAGGCACGCTCGGGATATGATACCATTTGGATAATTTTTATCCGGCTCACCAAGTGTTCTCACTTCTTAGCTATCAAGATAACTGACCTATTTGACAAACTAGCAAGAATATATATCTAGGAGATAGTTAGGTTACATGGAGTTCCAATGACAGTGGTATCCGATAGAGACCCTAGGTTCACTTCTCGATTTTGGTCTAATTTTCAGCAAGCCATGGGAACGAAACTGTCTCTCAGTATCGCATTCCACCATTAAACTGATGGATAATTAAAGAGAACAATTCACACACTGGAGGATATACTCCAAGCTTGTGTTCTAGACTTCGCACATTATCCCTTAGTATTATAGTCCACCATTAAACCGATGGAAAATTAAAGAGGATGATTCGCACACTGAAGAATATATTCTGAGCTTGTGTTCTAGACTTCGATGATCATTGGAATGATCATCTACCTTTATAGAGTTTATCTACAAGAACAGCTACTAGGCAAGTATCGGTATGGCTCTATACGAGACATTATATGACCACCCCTGCAGGTCGCTAATTTATTAGAAAGAAGTGGGTGATAGAAAATTATTCGACCCAGATCTTGTGGAGGAGACTACAACTAAGATAGTTAAGATCAAGAAGAACATTCAGACAGCTCAAAGCAAGCTGAAAAGTTATGCAGATACCCGGATGAAAGATTTATAATTTAAAAAAAGTGATCGAATGTTTCTTAAGGTCACCCCTTTAAGGGGATCAGTAGGTTTGATAAGACGAAAAAATTAAATCTCCGGTTCATCGGCCTATTTGAGATCTTAGACCTGATTGGTACGATTACATATAGACTGACATTACCTTTAGAGCTATTCAGAGTCCATAATGTGTTCCATGTATCCATGCTACCCAAGTACAACCCGAAACCCTCACACATCCTGTCCCACGAGCCCCTTTCACTATAGGATGATCTATGTTATGAGGAGGTGCCAGTATGCATTGTAGACTAGAAGAGTATAATACTTCGCAACCGAGAAATTCCCTTCGTCAAGGTCCTATGGCAGAACCATACGCAAGAAGAGGTCACCTGGGAATTGGAATCAAGCTTTAGGGTCCAGTACCCCCCAACTGTTAGACTGAGTGAGAGAGTGACCAATTTGAGGGACCAAATTTTCTTAAGGGGATGAGAATTGTAATACCTAGGCCCAAAAAGTTGTCTAAGATAAATTTTTTTTATGAAATTATTTAATTAAATAATTAATCAATTTATTTAATTAAATTTTTGAGAAAAAACTAATTGAGGATGAGATTGAAAATAATTTTGGGAAAAATAGGTAAAAATTTGAGTTCGGAGAGTGTTTTTTAAAGAATAATTAGAAATAAGGGGTCAAAGTACAAAAAGAAAAAATTCGACCACGTGAGACGATCAAGTTAGCAGCCCTGACAAATCAGAGCATACCGCATGTCAAAACACGGTGACATCGGTGCCACTAGGAGACCACGCAGGTGATCCGTGTGCCTAGTGATTCGACGGCCCAGGTTCGATCCCGCACGCGTAGATGGATCCAATTCATTCCCTCCTTAGGCACGATCAGACGAACGAGATCAATCATGATGAACAGTCCATATTGGTTTTCTCCTTAGACGCGATCGGACGGACGAGATCAATCAGGATGAACGATCCAGATCGACACAGCATAGGTATAAATATCTTGCGTCACAGGAGAACCCAAACCCTAGTCACCAGCCCCCTGTCGAAAAAGAAGAATCAAGTGTCGAAGAAGGAGGCCAACCGCCAATCGCCGCCGCACTGGAGCCATCGTCAATTGCCAAAAAAGGTAAATTTCCCCATACCCACTCGAAATTTTATTCCGACCTTCTCTGTGGCCAAATCAGAGTAAGAGGGACGACGGATGAGCCGAATATTGCGGGCAAAGTCCGATGGAGCCGTCATGGCAAAAACCCAAAAATCCATCCGATGAGCCCTTTCCTGCTTTCCGTTTTACATAATTTTTCGATCATTGTGTTCATCGTCCTTTTTTGTGCAGGTTAGCCGAAGAAGGAACCCCAGCCGTGAAGGAGGACCGGCGGAGCTGCCGCACCTAGAGACCCCTCGCTGGTAAGTTCGGTTGTTTATGATTTTTTGGCCAACCAAAAACTCCTAACGTATTATTTTGTAGGGATATGTGTAAAACCGTCCAAAACCGACCAGACTGATGCGAACCACCACTATGGGCGGTGGAGCCAGCGCCGCCACTGTGCTGGTACCCTAAAATTGGCCGAAAAAAGTTTTGGACACCGATTTTGAATTTTTAGGTATATAACGAGTGTTTTGGATTCTGCAGGAAAAATCCAGAAAACTCGGTACCCGTTAAGAGGCGTAGTAGGCAATGTGACGTCTCGAAACACCGATTCGGATAAGGATCTCTCACCCTATTCTCCGTTACGGTAAATTAAAGCTTAACGATGTACAAATTTGTATTTTTATGAAAAATTAAAAAATATTAAAAATAATTACAAGTCACTAGTGGAGCTGGAACTGGTTAGTTCACAATTATCCTAATTTTTTATTTATTTTTCTGTACGGTCCTACTTGCTTGTTATCGTATTATGCATGTTCTTAATTTATAGTTTCACGATTTATCTGGTTATTTGATTATCTGGTTACTCAATCTCTTGTTATGATAAATTATATCATCTGCATAAATGTCGTTTAATTGATTTATAAATATAATATAAGATATTGGTATATGTTTGTTGGTTATTTTGTTGATGAGAATTTTTATGTGAAAGACTTACTA